GTCCTTCCCCCGCACCTCCAACGAGCACCGTTGACTACGGTGCGGCGCGATAGAATGTTCAACATACACACACGTACATACAAAGGGTATCACGCATTGCCACATAACGTGATAAAGCATTCGATTCCCATGCGTGTCATCCAACAAAACATCATCTCGGCAGGGGGGCAATCATTTCAGCCGAAGGAAAGCTGCCAGAGTACACAATCTCCACAGTCGACTCGCTGTCGCCAATGCTCGGTGCAATTGCTCCGCAGTTTGGATGCAATCCTCTCCACATCCTTTGTCATGCTTAGCGGCAAGTCGCTGTCCAGCCCCAGCGGGGTGCTGCAAAATGAAACATTCACCTTGGTTATTACGTTGCCAGCGCCTAGGCGGCGAGACAAGCACAACCTCACGCGTCCCAGAAAACCTCGTCAGCTTCTCGGGTTTTAACATCTGTAGCAATCGGCGCTCGGATCAAGGCAGGGTCGGCGAAAGCCACAGAGGCCGTACCCATGCCTTCAGCCACGCATGGGCATCTGCTCCGCGCACTGCTGTCGAAAGACTTGTCGCGAGGCTGCAACGGGCCGCACACCACCAGCGCCTCCCAAACACGCGGCCCCGCACTCTGGCGTCTGCCTCAACCGCGAGACTCCCATCGCAGATCGGCCGCGCCGCGTGCGAGCCGGCGAGCAAACCGCGCACCCCTTCAGCGCAATTGCAGCGCGGTGACACAGCGACAAGTCCGCCTGTGACACAGCGCACACGCGCAGTCGTTAACAAGAACAACCTGTGACAGACTGTCGGGGCAAGTGCTGTTAGCGAGCACCTATGAAGGCCGGCACGGCACACGAGCGGTTGGTGGCCAGCACCACGCCCGGCCGCCTTTGTGTGACGATGTTTACACATTGCACTAAGTTCTCAATTAAGGCTGAGTCGACCTAGGAGAGGCCCATGACCGGTTCAGATAATCGGCACTGGTGTTGGCTGTGAGCGGGAATCGGACTCGTGGAGTCCGGTTCGGAGCGCAGCGCGCTAACAGCTACACCACATGCACACACACAGACAAACACAGACATACACACACGCACACACACACAGACAAACACACAGATATACACACACAGACATACACACACGCACACACACACAGACATACATACACACAGACATACACACAGAAAAACACACAGGCACGCACACACACATACCGAACGGCGATGCAATTAGTTCGTGTGACGGTGCTATTGGTAGATTATTAACGTCACATGGTGACGAGAGATGCTGACCACTTTCATCTATCAGGGGATTGATTGATGATGGGTGATTATGATTGTCGTGGCTGCTAATGATGATGATGATTACAATGAAACGCATTCGCGCACCATAATGAACTGTAAAATATACATTATTTTCCTAGGTAAGGTCCACTCTTCTTCAGAATCGACCTGGCCATACATGATAGCCCAAGGAAGTGGCTTATCATGTGACAATGTATATCACCCTCAAGCTCTATATGCGTGTTTCTACATGTGGAGGGAGGATCCAGAGAAAATCCACACGGCCACGGGGAGAGAGACACTCAAACTCCAAATAAACAGCAGGCGTCAGGGTGGGGATCGAACCCACGATATCCTGTACACCAGGCGAGGTAGTTAACATCTCGCCAGCGTGGCACCCCAACGTAGTCGCACACGCATCACGAGCCAGCCCCGATATTTTTCGAGTGGAACACGATCTCACACCGCAACACGTGTTCGCCTGCAGCACAACAACCAGAAGCCACACACACACAACACACACAAACACAACACACGCACACACAACACACACAAACACAACACACACACAACATACACAAACACAACACACAATACACAAACACAACACACACACAACATACACAAACACAACACACACACAACACACACAAACACAACACACACAAACACAACACACACACAACATACACAACTACAACACACAACACACACAACACACATACACAACATATATACACACACACAACACACACACAACATATACAAACACAACACACACACAACATACACAACCACAACACACACAACATACACACACAACACACACACAACACACACAACATACACACACAACATACACACACAACACACACACAAACACAACACACACAACACATAAACACCACACACACACAACATACACACCCACAACACACACAAACACAACAGACATAAACACAACACACACACAACACACACAACCACAACACACACAAACACAACACACACAAACACGTGTACAACTCCGAGAGTTTCAAGAGCGACGCCTGCCACCACCTATTGATCGCGTTCCGCTCTCTCCCGAGATGTACCCCACCAACCACACCGCACGCGTGCATCACAGCGGAGGCGCCGCATGCACATTCAGAGAGACGGGAGCGGTGCTGCTTGAACGCATTAGCAGCTACAGACGGACAAGACAAACAAATGAAAACGGGCACGTTCACTCGTGTGAGCTTCACATCCCTCCTGGCATAACAGACCTCGACACACGCGCGCGTTGTGTAGACACAGGCGCTACACGGCGTATTCATCATAATAATGCATACTTAAACATCCATTGTGATAATGTATACTGTTGAATGTACCAGACGACTGCAAACACAAATTAATTAAAGACAAAGATCGCCCCCCGTACCCCCCCCCCCCCCCGCGGGTAGCCGACAGAGGCTGTTGGGGACAAGTGCTGTGAGCGGCACGGCTCGCGGACAGCGCGGTGGTGGTGGTGCTGGTAACCAGCAGCACGCACGCCCAGCGCTGATGGTTTCATGCCCTACCGTTTAACTCCGAGTCGACCTAGTGGAGGCCCGGTGAGTCCACCCGCACGGTACGCCGGTGGAGGAGATGCGTGGGGGGGGGGGCACACGAGTTCGCCATTGGCAGGAAGACAATGCGCGTTTGGCAATGGTACAACGTAGCAACGCCACGGTCGCTCTACACAACAATGGGTCCATTTGTTTCGCGTTTTCAGTGCTCGCGGACGTGCGCTGAAAGTTTATTCCGCGCTGCTCAACTGCGCCGCGGTGTCGCTGACACGCGCGGGTCACGGCAAGTCACGGCTCATCGCGACACGCACGCACAGATGTACGCACACGCGAGCCAAGATAAACATCCCGCCCCCGCGTCGCCTTGAACAGACTGTTGGGGCAAGTGCTGTTAGCGAGTAGCAGCACCTGTGTGAGGGGGGGGGGGGGGGGTCAGCACCACGCCGGGCCGCCTTTGTCTCCCTGGTGGTGATGTTGAAACGCCGCACCAAGTAATCGTTTGAGGCTGAGTCGACCTAGGAAAGGCCCACGACTGGTTCAGGTAATTGTCACTCGTGTTATACCGTGAGTGGGAATATAACCTTGGTTCGCCGGGTTCGTAGCGCAGCGCGCTCACTGCTACCCTTACCGCTCTCCCCATAGATACGCACAGGTGTACACATACACATACAGGTGTACACACACAGGTGTATACACACACAGGTATACACACACACAGGTGTACACACACAGTTGTACACACACAGGTGTACACACACAGGTGTACACACACACAGGTGTACACAATCACACACAGGTGTACATAATAACACAGTTGTACACACACAGGTGTACACACAGGTGTACACAATCACACACAGGTGTACACACACACACAGGTGTACACACACACACACAGGTGTACACACAACCAGAGCGCCCACACACCTGGTGAGCAGGTAACCCGCTCAGCTCACCTGCGCGCGTTTAAATCATCCGTGACTTTATTTCCAGTCCCGCATGGCCACGTGTCCCCATATCAATCAGTGGCGTTGCGTCGCGTGCTCGCACTTGGGGGCATGGCTGTAAATCCCCACACCCCAACCCCCCCTCGCTTTGAATCCGGGGCACCTGGGGGCCAAACGAGGCCCGTAGGTCCAGGCGCAGTTTAACCGCCTGCACAACCCAATAGCTACGCCACTGATTGTCAGCGCCGTGTTAGTATGCGTGTGTGCACGTGTAACGACACATTGTTGTTGTTTGTTGTTATCATCCTTTTTAAATGCACGCGTGGATGCATCCCGACGGCACCGCGGTCACGGGCACGCGGCCGCCCGCGCGGGAGCCGCCGTGTCCACGGGACGTCACCCGGGACCCGGTGGGACCTCCGCAATTGGAGGCGAGGAGTGCGACGAAAATGACGGTCACAGAGCATCGGCGCGCACGTGTCCCCCTCTGTGTGCCTTTGGTGCGTGCGTAAGTATCGCGCTGTCGTTGATTGAATGCGTGTGGGTGGGTGGAGCGGTGGCGCAGCGGTTAGCGCATTGGGCTAGCAACTCCGCAAAAATTGAGCTTGATATGGGTGCTGTGCTTCGCTCAAGGATCGACCCCCGGGCGCGATCTCTAAACAGTGGGGAGACAAAGACGGCCGGGCGTGGTGCTGACGACGCCACCCACCATCCTCTCTTTCTCTCTCGTGCGTCCTTGCGGAAATTAATAACTAGTGGCTGACACACGTGCCCCACAGTCCGTAACGTTTCGCACCGTACGTGGCCAACCTTGCTTAAGTGTACGTTGGGTGCACGAGGCATTAGCACGACGATCGTGCGATAACAGTGCCACAAACAGGCAGCATTCTACCCTTGCTTATGGCAGCAATCTGTTCAGGAGCTAAATGCCAACGTCGATGTCTGCTAGTCACGACGAGCGGGCTTTAGGAGAAACACAGAGAGAGAGAGAGTCCGTGTTATTTGTGTTACAACATTGGAAACGATATTATACCGTGTGACTACAAAAAAAAACCCCGTCACCTAAACTGCAATTATCCCGCAACGCGCTCACTGCGTAACAGCGAGGTCCTTCAATCACGAGCCGGTGTCGTGTCGAGAAGAAAAAAAACAAAACAGCGGCCACGCAGTCGCCAGCGGTGTCGCCACGCTACGGGCAGCAAGTTGCAGGCACAGCGGAGCGAGCCGCGGTGCGAGAGTCGTACCTCGCGCGCTGCCGGTGCATGCGAGCAGGACGAGAAGGGCAAAGTTCCAGAGCACGCAGGGCATGGCGCAGGTGGAGCTCGCTCCGCGTGGCGGCGGCGCGGCTCCCGTCGTGGACGAGGAGGAGGTGGAGCAGGAGGAGGTGGAGCAGGAGGAGGAGGTGGACCACCGCGGTGCTTCCTGCCGCGCAGCGCAGCCGCGGTTCACAGGCGTCCCGACAGGCGAGCGACTGACGCTCCCGTCATCCTGGCACGAAGTGGCGTTGCTCGTTGAATCATCAACACCACCACCATAATCACCATCATCACAGCCATCACGACTGCCAGCACGGCTCCGTGTGGCCGCAGACATGGGCTCGGCATCGCTGCTGCTGCGCTCGGCGGACCGCTCGCCCATCGCCGCGTGAGTCTCGCCCGAAACAGCGCCGCGCGGATGAGCCCCCGGGGCGCTGGCGCGCGGGGTCGCGGGCGCCCTGCCGCGCCTGGACCTCCCCCACGGGGTGCCCGGCGACCCGGGCGACTCGATGCCCTCTCCTTCACCCTCGTGGTTGTGGGCAGGGGCTGGCAGCCGAGGCGGCGGCAGCGGCGGCGGTGGCTGCAGCGATGCAGCCCCCGGGGCCATGTCAGCGGCGATGATAGCCGCTGTGGCTGCTGCGGTGCAGTCTCGCGGAGTCCGCACGATTCTCGTGGAGATGGAATCCTCGTCGTCACCGGGGTTGCGTAACGGCATCTCCCCCATCGCTCCCCGCGCTGGCAGCTGACGGGTGACGGGAAATACGGGTACGGTGGAGCAGCAGAGAGACGGCAGAAGGCGGGGGGGGTGAAGGAAGGAGGAGAGCGTGAGGCTGTCTGTCTGCGGCAGCGGTGGGCAGGCTTAGCGGAGCGGCGTGCGATGTTGCTAGAATTCAGCTCGCTTGATTTATGCCCAACACTCTGCCACTCCGCTCTCCGAAAGCGGTGCGATTTCTGGCATTATACTCTTCGCATACCAGCCCTCCTCCTCCTGCTCCCCACACCACCACCACCACCGCACACCCCGGCATGAGCCTCACGCTGCGTTTGCTCTCTCCTCTGAGTGGCCGGAAGAGAGCGAGCGAGAGAGAGAGAGAGATCGTTCTGGGTGGTGCGAGCTTCGAGCCTTGGATGAGTCGCGCAAGCACAGCAGCACCACGCAAATACACAGGAAGTACACGCGACAGGCACAGACTCCCTCGCTCCGCCTCTTCAGAGCGAACCCGTCAGCTGCTGGTGCCGCTGCGCGCACAGCTGGCGCCGGTGGGGTCCAGTGTGGGTACTCCGCCGCCAGCGCGCATCCACGCGCGGTGCGCGCGCGGTCTCTGTGCGACTCGTGCGAAGGAGACGCCTCGCAGCACAGGGGCGGAGCGGCTTTTAGAAGGCGCGCGAGGAAAATAAATCGGTTAGCGAGCCGAGCGCAGCGCCAAAAGAGACGAGTGAGGGCGGATTTGGAATGTATCTGTGGTGGCGCTCTCGCCCAAGCGCAAGAGAATGCGGTGATTTTATGAAGAAGAAAAAAACCCAACGGCACGGACTCTTTAACACTCGAAATGAGGAGCCGCAACAGCCAAGCTGTCGCCAGTGCTTCACATGAGCCCGTAGCGTCGAGAACGCTGTTCCGGGAATTATTTTGGGTACCCAGTTACATCAATCTCAGCGCCCTTATTATTGTCCTAATTGTTCACGTGTGTGCGTGTGTCTGTATAAATGTATGAATCAGTTCCATATGATTATTGGGATGTAGGGTATAATATGGGATGTTTATGGACAGGCGTACCTTGTGCTTCCGTAGTAGTGGTAGTAGTGCCTTACGCTGGTCGACAAGACACCAACGATCACAACTTACGTTCATTCGTGTCTCAATGCGCGTGTCCTGGTGAGGGTCGCGGCGGCAGCGTGTTGAGTAGTGGCGGTCCAGACCTGCCTTTCTCTGGCGACAGACTCCAGCACTACTACACTATACACTACACTACTATACATTATACACTACTACACTATATACCACTATACACTACTATACATTATTATACACTACTATACACTACACTGCTATACACTATACACTACAATGCACTGCACGACTATACACTACACTACTATACACAATACACTACACTACTATACACTACAATACAATATACACTACTATACACTGCACTACTATACACTACACTACTATACACTACACTATACACTACACTACTGTACATAGACTCTAGCTCTTCCAGGCGTTCCCAGGCCAGCCGAGCGACACAGTCACACTGGTGTATCACCTCTTTAACATAATAATAATACCACGCGCTGTCCGCTACACGGTGGATGTTAAAGATCCCGTGCCGGAGTCATGGTACAATTTTTTTTTCCCAATTTGGAGAAGATGAAAATAAACAATCACCCGCGAATGACTCCATTGGGATGATACGGTACGTGGCAATCATCGCTAGCTACCCCCTACTGCGAAGGCCTTGGCAGGACCCTCCCGAAACGAGTCACGGACACCCGCTTGAGACTTGTGTTGGGTCAACACGCGCGACAAAAACAGAGACACAGCGACAAGAAAGAGACGACGCCAGGTCAAAACAGAATCAGATCTACGTGTGTACTCTGAAGGAATCCGATGAGCTATGAAGCTCGTTTTCACAGGTGGCAGCCGATAGGGGCGGGTAAGAACGCCACAGCAACAAACAGCACGACAACACGATAGGAGTGCAAAGTAGAAGAAAGGATGACGCGGGGTCGTGAGAGACGAGTTGGGAAGCGCCTTCCTCCAGCGGTGAACTGCCCACGCCTGATGATGATCACTATTCTGAGCATTTGGTGGGATGTTAGCACAACAAATAACACGAAACGCACACAGGAACGCGTTCTCTACCACGTACACGTTGTGTGTAGGCCTGTGAGAGCTGCATAGGCACACGTTGCGCGTGTCGCTACATCGTACGATTCTCCGATTGTCGCAATATAACATCGAAGTACTTGAACGCCTTCCGTTGGACATGACACTGGTGAGATGAATGTTGACCAGAGCTGTTGGACCACGCTTAAAGTTCCAATGTTGATATTGTTATTGTGTTAACCAGGTGAGCAACTCGTGAAAACAATGAGAGATTCATATTCCTGACTGACCCGGGTCACCAAAATTACGAAGACAAAAAGTTGCAGCGATGGTACAAAATAATAAATCAGAGCAGCAACACCAAACCCCCGCTACCCCCCACAATTGTCACGCAAGAGATCGAAAGGAAACGTAATCATGTTAAATACGAAATCTCCTGCAGCGCAAGGCGGTTCGCGCAGATTATTCGAGACTGATCGTAAAACACGACTACAATTTAGTTTTATCGGAAATATTACGGAGATGTATGGATGCGACCGCCGTGATAATTTGTGAACATATTAGTAGAACAATACACTACCCTGTGCTGGGTGTGTAGTCCACGCAGGTTTATTGACACGTCGCTAACAGGCATTTGGCGCTCTCGACTGTCACTCATTTCACTCTGGCTGGAGCAGTGGCACAGCAATTGGCGCGCTGAATATGCGAATCTGAATGCCGAGGCGAGATACCCGGTCACGGCTAACATCAGTGGTAGGTGATACGTGGTTCTGGCCCCTCATGGCCCCATGCTCGTAGCCCGGGTAGTAAAGACAAAGTTACCCCTCCCCGTATAGCCTGGGCAGACTGTTGCGGCAAGCGCTTTTAGCTCGCAGCACCTATGAAGGCCGGCACGGCACACGAAGCCGGGGTGTGGGTGGCCGCCACCACGCCCGGCCACCTTTGTCCCCCGAGTGGCGAAGTTTTTACCCATCGCACCAGGTACCCATTTAAGGCCGAGTCAACCTAGGGGGTGGGGGGTGGGGTGGGGGGCAGGACCGGTGATGGCCGTGAGTGGGAATCGGCAGGCGCTAACCGTGCGGACATCGCAGCGACGGGCGGACGGCGTTGAGACGCGCGAAGGAAAACTCCGCCGTGCGCCGTCGCCCCGAGGTTACTCGCGACTGAGACGTCGGGAGGTTTTCGTCTCCCCCCCCCCGCTCCCAAATACCCCCCCCCCCCCGCACAAATTGCATCGGTGCACAATCAGTGGCGAGATCATCACTCGCTGCTGCTGCTGCTGCAGCTGCTGGCTCCTGCTGCGAGTGACTCAGTAATCCCGAGCCCCGCACCTCGTCACCGCCTTGCTATCATGCCTGGGCAGTGTTCCCATTTAATAGCAGCAGCTGCAGCAGCCATGACCAGTCCACTGCTGGATGGAGGGGAGTCTTTAAGCCGTCGATATCGATCACGACGATCCTGCGAAACCCCTCGAGCATCGAGCCCTTGCAGTCGAGCTGGCTTCCCCTCGCCCCCGTGCCTTGGGCTGCCTCTCCGTCATTACGCTTGGGACGACGCCTTCATTTAGCAGTGGATCGATCATGGCTACTGCTGCTGCCCATTCGCTTGCGTTGCAGCAAAGCCGTGGCACGAAGTTTCAGTTGAAAATGCCGGCGCGAAGTTCGCTTTTGGGTTATTTTTTACGTTTCATTTATTTATGTATTTGAGATTTAACACGTTCACATATTCGCAGACATACTGCCGACCTTTGCAAATGTCTACGAGCATCATTCTGTACCATATGTCGAATCGTAAAAAACGACTGGCACAGTTGGAGTTTTCCTTTTGTAGGGGCGAGCTTTGCGCACGGAATCTTAAGGTTGTAATTAGGAACAAGATGTTATTTCTTCATGTCCGAATACGCTATTGCAATTAAACACTTAAATTGGGATGGAATATTACGGTGAATATGACGGATGTGCAGAGGCGTTGGATTGGTTTGCAGGGCTGGCCCTTCGTTGAGAGTTAACTCGTGACTAAATGATTTTCCGTCCACGATCCCAGGTATTAGAGCGACACCTGCTGTCTGGAGGATATACTCGGCTTTATAATAATAATGATGATGACGTCCAGCTCTTTGTAAATCCACTGCTGCATGATGGAAGGCCTGCTCAGCCATCATGGTCAGTTATGGGGGTTGTTTGACCACCGTCTTCAGTGCTGGCTGGGTTGAAGGTCGGCGGGGGGGGGGAGGGGCTGGTGATGACATCACTCGCCAATGCAGATAGCCATGGTCGGGAATCGAACGAGGGATACTGGGTTCGTCGCGCAGTGCGCTAACTACAGCGCCACCGCTCGTCATGCTCAACACTAAAATGCCACTGAGATATATCACAGGCGTTTTCTTTTTGTGTCAGATCGCGTAAATATAAACGTGTCGTTAAACCCACCACCACCACCCGACACAACCAATCAGTAAGGTTTGTTACAAGTTCAGCACACCGGTGTATTGCAGAGTAAACCAACAACATTTACAATTCGTGCACTGTGACGTTTCGCTGGTAATTACAACA